ACACCGCACGGTGTCGACGGGAGATTTGAAATTCCTAGGAAATTCCATTCTCTCGGGTGAACGATTTTTCTATTGTTCATTCGTTCTCACCCCTTGAAATCTGAAACGCCGAGTGTATCGCCGATGACTGCAAAATTAATTTCGTTTAATCGCGGGAAGAAAATGCGGAAAATGCGTGAAACGTTGTTTTAATTAAGCAAGTATGATTTTCCGATTATTATCGCCGGAGCACTTTCGATCCAAAATTGATGAGAGGGAAAAATATATTAAAAAAAAATATGTACACACACACACGCACATGAAACATTCCACTTATGCGATAATACTCTGGTCGAATGTATCGGAATTCGCTGTTTAGCTAACCGTCGCACAGCATTCACAACCGAACGCGCCAGCATTAATTACCGCGGCATAACTAATGACTTGTGGCATAATAAAGTACAATTTGCCGTGAAATTCGTATCGCCGTCCAGCTCGGGAGGAATCAAATTTGTTGCAATGCATCGAACAAGGGTAACTGCGTGCTCACGCGACGCGAAACCCCGACGTTGCAATAGTTGCCGAGATTTACAACGGTCCATTAGCGTACAGAGAACTCATTTTCGTTTTATGCTAATACAAAGAGGACGTAGTCCTGCGCTCGTTTAATATATACACACACGTGCCGCGCATTTTCACGGTTCGTCCGCCATCGTACTCGTCGAATATCGGCGGTACTCGCGCGTGATTACCTCCGATATCGACCGGTTGACCACTGTGAATTACTTGAATTATTGAGACAGGTAAGAATGAGGAAAATTCAGAATTTGCTGTGAACGCGAACAATGGTTAATTAATTTCTCGTTTAGAAGCAATCAATTTTAAAAAGTGAAATTAAAGCAGAATGAGATGTATTCAACGCATTGAGTACCGTGTTGGTCACCAATGATCGTTATTAGTGTGTCTCATTAACTCTTCGTTAGTCGCAATATTTTTCACATATGAATGGTCGCAATGTATCTCACAGATACATTCATTTTCTTATTATTTATAACTGCCTCTTGAAACAATTTTTCTTTCATTGGAATTTGACTAATAGGACCCCCTATTAAGCTGGACTTCCCACCATCGCAAATCGAGTTGAATCAAGCGCAAATAGCACTATGTTTTTTTTGTTAGTGCGAACTCGACTTGCGATGGTGGGGGGTCCAGCTTAATGGAGGTCTAATAGGTCAGGAAGTAAGGTATATAAAAGACAATAGAGAACAAAATCATCGACAAAAACGATTTCGACTTTGAGGCCATATAGTAACGGCGATACGTTATAACTTGAATATGTGTATTGCGACTAACGAAGGGGAATTAAAATATATATAAAGTACAATTAATTGCGTCTAAAAATTGGTTGAATGGTCAATAAAGAGCCAACGAAATGAGGAAAAAGATATATGCGTCTCGAACTTTTTTTTAAATCGTATTTTTAATAATTTGATCGGTTAAATACAAACATAGTGGAAATTAATATGGCGATCAATTTTAATCACGTTGTCGGTTTCCAAGGCCCAAAAGGGAAAAGAATCGAAGAAAGAAAGGAAACTCCATACGAAAAAATACATATTTATCGCGCAGCTACTTCTTCATTTACGTGCTCGTGCGAATTTTCCTTGGAAAGTGTTTCCAGAAGGGCGAACTTTCGCGTTGCACAGACGTATCTCTCGAATAAACCGCGGCGAACCACTCGCGAGAAGAATAAAGGGGACCAAGATACAGTTCTCTCACGGCGAGAGCGAGGTGAGAAGCGTTTTCCGCGCGAAAAAGAGCGGAACGACTTTTCGTCGGTTTTCCTGAGCACCCCGTCCGTCCATCCGGTGGGTGGTGGCTTTTATCGATGCGTACGCTTCGTCACCGCGGATTAAAAGCACACTACCGCGCATTTAGGTCACCGTGCACGTACGTACGGCCGTCCATTGTTTCTGTACAATGCATCGCGACGAGCGCGAATTCGTTCGCGAATTTTCAGACCTTACACGTCGATCCGTACATACGTACCGTACGTGTAATGGTTGGTCGATGGACGTGACTATTAAAACGTCACGATTTACGCCTCCCATCCTATTGAGATTTACTCGGCTCCGTGAAATCACTCGTCCGTTATATCCGCGATTCTCTCAATAGCGTGACGCACAAGTATCTGATATTAACGCCGTTGAATTAATGCAATAGTACCTATTGAATCGTCTAGATGATTTCCAGATAATCTCCCTAAGCGTACCCGTTCGCGCGGTTTATCCCGAGCTGTGAGTTGCGAAACAGTAATTTCCACCGCGCTCGCGAATGTGCGGAAAGTTCAAGTATCGGCGCGAAAGTAATCGCGAATGCGCGTCCGGGCGCGTTTCCACGAGAGAACGTGCGGAACTGCAACTTTGGCATTTCGGAGCGGCGCTCCGAGGCTTAGTAGCGACGCATTGTGCTCACCAACTTATTATTGCAATTTCATTAGCTGTGCACAATGCGTTAACGCACAATGTGAGTGCGGCTCACGTTGCCGTGTTTGTGCCGCCGAACGAACGAATCGTGTTTCATCTCGAGGTCTACCAGCCACGCTGCAATGTTGCGAAACAAATCGAAGGAAGAGAAACAATACGAGTATGCACGCGATAATTTAATACCATTACATAATAATCCTGAAATAAAGTAGCGAAAAAACAAAGGAAAAGAGAGAGAGAGAGAGATTCATCATAATAGACATCGTCGTTCCAAGGAAATATCTTGAAGTGAATTCATGACGCAGTATCATTCAAGATAATGACGAAACGACCCAAGATAATATCACTCCGAACCATATGTCTCCCTTATCTTATCGACATCATCCGCCGGCGGGTATATTTCATCGAGTATTCGTTAAAATTGCGAAATTATCCGAGCTGTAATTCCGGATTAGCGTGATCCACCTTGAAACTCTCTCCTCCTCTCTCTCCCTCCGTTTCTTTCTTTCTAGGTTACGGCATCTCTCGCAGTCAGCTGTCACACGAGCAAGCGCGCGCGGCAGCGATGACGTAACCTCTCCAGCAGACGAAGAGAGATACAAACAAGACAGCAACAGCGCAGCGCACACGGTACATGGTACGTAGGTATATACACGTGAAACGTTATATCGAACAACTACTCACCCTTATCGTATCGAGCGTCGATTCGACGACAGTACCGTCACCCTGTCTCGATGTGGCGGGCACGCAGCATCCGGGCTCCATGGGAGAGAGAGAAGTCCCGTCACATCTGAAGCACACGAAACGAACGCGTTGACATCGCGTGACAGGTCCGTGGCGTCGACAATTCCGACGCTCGCGAGATCCTCGCAGCTAAAGTAAACACGTCCGGCGGCGACGGCCACGTGATCGGATCGCGTCGCAGCCTCCGCAACCGGCCTTGGTTGCGAGCCGACGAGGTCGCGGGTGCGCCGTTGCTCCCGTTCGTTACTATCTCTCTCTCTCTCCTCTCTTATCGAGCTATCGTGTTTTGACGGTTCGTATCGCCGGTGCGCCGACGATGCACAGCTCTGATGACGTCTGTGGCCGTAGGGTCAGCCGCTTGCGTCGTCGTCGTCGGGCGAGGGGCGCGCGGAGCTCGACTCGTGAAAACCACCACCGTTGACATCTCGTCGCGAAACTGCGGCCAGTCCAAGGGAACGCCGGCGTTGCAGCAGCGCCGATGGAAACCCGGCGCGCTGATTGGCCATGGCCGTTCGACCCGGAGACACGCGGTCGAGCGAACCGGCCGCGCGGTCGCCTGACGCTATCTAGCGTGAAACGCTCGCAACCGCCTGGAAGCGCTAATGTTATCGATTTTGAAGTGGCTGCGGATTACTTAGCGGAGATTCAAGCTCGTTAGGCGAACGAGTCTCCCGAGGCACCGCCAGGTGATGCCAGGTGTCCCGTTCACTACATCGGCGAATTTGCACGATACCAGTAGATAGTGACAGATAGTGTTCGGTCGTATTTTTGCCACCGAACTGTTGCATACAGGTTTGGCTTACGTTAAAGTGGATAATCACGAATCCATAGTAGGTAAAGTAGATAATAAAATAGAGAACGAACGCGCTAATGAGCGATGGATTGAGAGTGAAACCGATGTAGTTTTCCGTATGGTTTTCCCGGTGGCTTTTCCGCACGTGTTTATAAGAAAAGATATATATTCTAACTCATCGGGCGTAACGAGATTTATTGTTAGTCGCACAATCTTCGCTATGAACCGCCGCCATACCTATCGGGAAAACGACGAAGTAGTACGACCGAACAGTCGCATCAGGCGACTCTTTTATTTTCAAAGTTTATACATCTGTTTTCAAATAGTATAATTCAACGCTAGTCGGACGATTTCTTATCTTCTCAAGTAATTGCGAAGAGATCTAACTACAATTTTTTCCGACGATTCAAAGCAGATCCCGCTCCTTGTTCTTGACAAGGTATCAATAGGAGAACTTTCATTTCTACAACTCTTGCTGCTGTCTCCTTTTTTGCGAATGTGCATACGAAGATGTGACAACTGATAAGTGGCTATTACCCTATTCACCAGGCGGAACGTACGCAATTGAGTAAAAACCTATCGTGCGCTGTGCGTAATGAGAGAAAGGTACGAATGAAACGGTGGAGGAAACGCAAAGGCACGATCGAGTGGAAGATACAGCCCGCGAAGCGCGAAGTGGAAAAAGACCGATGGAAATCGCGGCGCTAAGTGGAAAAAGGACACATGTGGATCGCGCGAGGGAAGCAGCGGCACGCGCTTGACCGCAGAAATCGGCGACACGCGCAGTGGAAAAGAAAGCGCATGGTGTGCGCGGCGGGAAAGGAACGGGCGCGACCGGACGAAGAAACGGCGACGGTGGACTTGCACGTTACGCCAAGAGACCGGAGAACGTGCGAAGGACCGCCGCCACCATCGCCAGTCGCCACCGCAATACCGCATGCGGCTTTTCGCATCAGTCGGCTTTCAAATTGACGCGCGGTCGGTACACGCGGTTCTTCCGCCGGCGCTGATCGCCGCGCATGGACCACGGTAGCGAGGTACGTACTACGAATGTTGGATATTACACCTTCGGTGGTTGATAAAAGCTCGATCAATCCAGAGTCGGCGCCGTTGATCGCGTCGAGAAGTTTATAAACGTGAATCGAAAGTTCCACCGTGACGAAATTCTAAAGGCATGTGCGCGATAACTTCAGTGGGATGCCTGGAAAAATTGCTGCGATCGCATCGGTTGCGCTGAAAAGAGGACTTGGTAATAAATGCTAAAATTTCGCGAACGTTTAGTCGACCGAATATTGAATTATTCCAACGGAATCATTTAGTTCCGTATACTAAATGTAATACAATGTGCGGAACTTAATTATTTGGTTGCATTAATTAAATATTTGGTCAGCAAATATTCACGAAATTTTAATACTTATTATCGAACACTTTCTTCAGTGCATCTTCATCTGTTCTTGAACATTTCTTGTGCCGAGCGAGGATCAACGAGAGGCGAATACAAGAGACACGGAAGGACGCTTTTCCACTCCCTGTGGAAGATAGCAAGACGCGAAGCCGAGTTCCTCGCGAATCCGCTCCTGGCGCGTTCCCCGCCAGAAGCGCGAAATCGTTCGGAAATGAATTCGAGGTGCCAAGCGCGCGATATACGAGCGACACGTGTCTGAGGAAAACAACTTTTTGTCGGCGTCCATCGACGAAGGACTTTCTGCTGTACGACAAAGCGAAGTACGATAACGTGCCTTCACAACGGCGCGTCTTCGTGCGTTGACTGCGACGAACGCGTTGCGCGGGCGAGAAGGCAACCGTTATAAAAACCGAATGAATCGGCACTGGGCTCTGATTGGCTGTCGCCGGCACTTACCCCGAAAACCTGCCCATATTCCAGGAAACCGAAGGGGACCGCGCTCCCGCGCCCACCCGCGACCCTCGGGTTCTCCCCTTTTACTTATGCTGTCGCCGCCATACTTTGTTTACAACGCGCGCCGCTATCGTTCGCTCACTCGCTCGCTCTCGCCCGCCGATTACAACGGCGGTTTACAGCGCTGCCGCCAATCGAGTTGGACGGCAGCAGCGGCGAGGACGAGGACCAGACCCGGGACGAGAGCGAGAAAGGACATCGGGAGCAGGACACGGCCCCGCGACGCACCGCCACGTCTCGATATACTATCGACAGTGTCGTCGTCGTCGTGCAGGTCAGTTTGCGGCTCTTCCGACCGGACGATGTGACGTCCGATGACGTAGGACGCACAAATATCACGTCGCGTCGTCCTCTTCTACTCGGACCTGTGCTCCGAGCACACCCAAACGCACTGCTCTTTCTCCCCACCTCTCCCTGCGTCTCTGTTTACCCCGCTACATGATACATTCCTTTTTTCTCTCTCGAGTATCGGTGAGTACTTGAGGAAATCCCTCAAAGATACTCCCCTGCCCACGGAATTTTCAAAGCGATGCCGCTGCTCGCGTCCCGCGCGACGTTCTCCCAAAGGTTACTCCTCACGGTTCGCCGATGCTCGACCAATACAACCTCGCGCCTTCATTGTATGGTATTTATGGACCACATGTGTATCTCACGAAGTAGTACGAAAACAAGATAACCAGGAATATTTCTACCACCTTTTGCACCGAGCACCTGTATGTCCGCGTTCGGATACTCAGACCGAGGTGTCCGTTACATCGCTGCCTCGGTCGCGTGCGCACCTTCAGCTCTCGCATTCGGCGGACGGGATTCCGAGTTTCTTCCGTTTCTCGGAGCTCGATTTTCCCAGAGCAGAAAGGGATTTTAAAGGGGCATTCGCCGAGGTTTCTCGAGAAAATTTCCGTCCCGTACATCTCCGGTGTCTCGATCGCACGAGCTCGCGAAAGCGATGTAAATTCGCTAACGAATCATCACGTTTCAATTAATTTCGCGTCAATTTCAATGACCGTACTTGCATGAAAATTCTGCCATCGACGAGATGATTGAAATTAATAACAAATTGTAAGATAACAGTTCGATGAGTCGTCCGGTCCGATTGTGCTTCTGTGTAGAATTCAAAATTGCGTCTAAGTGACTCCTCTCTATCCGTATTGTATACGTGATGTTTACATAGACCCCTTTTTTTCACATAGACTGTGAACCGTGCAGAGGCAAACAGTTTCTTGCCCGATATGACGAACAGTTTCGGCGAATTTGCTGCATAAGGAAGAGAATACGAAATTTTATAGGCAAATATAAATTTATAAATAATATAAACAAGCACGCAAACTAAGTTGACTCTTTTTTTTCTTTTTCGGGTCAAGACGGCACTCTCAGAAGGCACGAGGAAATAACGACAACATGTTGAGACATTTGTACATAAATTATGCACGTCGAACAGACGGTTCATGTGGTCAATGTAGACTCGCGATGTGCACGTGTGCGCACATGACGATGACGATGACACTTTTGCGTATCGACACGCGATTGTATCTCATTGCTATTTATCGCGTACGCACATGAGTATATACGAGAATAATACATACGATCACAGATTCAGAGGCAATAATTCCGAGCACGCGCCAGAATATATTAACGTGCAGTTAAACGAACCAGATCGTGCAAAAAAGGCTAGATTCTCTTCTGTCTATTCATCAAAAATTGTATTTCTCGCAATAATATTCAGTGATGTTATTATATATATATATATATGTATATATTTGAAAGTTAATAATTCATAAATATCATAGCAGCTTGATTGCGTGCTCCACGAAGGAGACGTTTTTAAGAATCATATTGATGTAACGAAATTGCTTTCATCGACAAGACGAGCGAAATTAAGACATTTCTCGGACATAACGACATATGTCATTTTTCTAAGCTCTCTAATTCTGTTTCGGGCATTCTCGCCTGTTCGCAGTGTCGCGACGTGGGTGAGGTAGGCGGAGGCGGTGGTGGACGCACTTGTTGCATAAGATGAGACCCGACGAGGTGGTCCAGAGCGAACGGCGGGCGGCGGAGACGATGTCGGAGACATCGGAAGGCACCGCGACCACCAGTGTTTCTGGCAAATCCGGCTTCGAAAGCCGTGAGGAGATGGGTGACCTCGCGGCCTTGCTGGGCATCAATGATCCCGAGGACCTGCATCAAGAGCGATTCCGCGTAGACCGTCGCAAACTGGAGCAAATGCTGCTCGGTGAGTGAGCGAACGAGCGAGCGGTGCTGCGATTCGAAACCGTTTAATTTGCGATTGCGATACCGGTGAACGTGTCAATATTTTATACGGTGGCGCGTGAAAAAGCAATGAAGGCTCGGTTTTATGTAAAATTTTGATCGATCGAACCGCAGACATTTCCCGTATTAATCCAACACGCTCAAATCAACACGTGAAAATATCCGCAGCGAAATTTTCTACCTTCCAACCTTTATAAAACATAAAGTGACTCTGATCGTTTTGGTCTTAGGAAATCAAAATATGCTTTTAACTGGCGATTGTAGATCGGACGCAGATAGAAAGCGAATTAAATTAAATAAATAATCGTAAGGATTACGAGAGACTTAAATGCCAAGCATTCTAAGAATCGATCGTTTATCGTGACGAGGGGATATTTAAGACACTATCGCACTTTCTCTCGACCGCGGATATTAGATTACGATGGAAGCAGGTTATCAGGAAAGCTGAGAAATTAACATTTAATGATTTAATCCAATTGGATCGTGACGGCAAGAGTGACTGACCGTTTAAACGCGGTAATTTAATTTACCGTTGAGGCTTTCAAATGAATGAAATGAATTACGATAAAGGATTACGACCTATCGTGGAGAATTTTAGCGAATCGCGAAAAACGTGAGATATAAAATGTTACTTGTCGAGTGGATTTTAAGTCACTAAATTCGGCGCGAATAATCGTTTCCCACTTTAGCATGAAAAACGACTTCGATTTACAATTACGACTTCGATTTACATTTGTTCTACGCGAAGATTCGCGAAGATGGCTTCCGACGTTGCCCTACTGTATTTAACGTTAAATTACGCGCGCCCGCGAATACGGAGGCCACTGTACAATAACTTCGCCGTTATATACCTCACGCTTAACCTTTCCCCGTTCTCGCAGGCACTCCAGTGTCCTTTATCGCTTTCATTGCTTCTGGAGTGTCCATAACACTCGGCGAAACGAGTCCCCGCGCGCGGTGTCTACTTTCGCTTTCCCGTTCGAATGTAGACTCGATTCCTAAAACGCCACCTTGCACCCGGCGAAAGCTTTCGCGCGAGCCGCGAAAGCTTTCGCGCGAGCCGCGAAAAACCTCCCGATCGGCCGCGGACGTGGAAATTCTCGCAATATCGAAAACCGAAGAGTCGCGGAAAGTTACGGGTCGCGGCCGATTTTTCGACTCTGAGATACCGTCACGCGATGAATTCATTGTAAAACAGAGCACGAGATTTTGGAATCGTCGGGAGAAGTCTGAACAATAAAGCTGTCTCTTGGACATCTTTACGGCGCGTATGAGACATTCGCGCTGTTCGGGAGTCCTTAACTGCAATCGCGATCATCGATAAAAATACGCTCTTCATATTCAATTATGTCGCTATTTTCACGACGAACACTGCCGATTTTTGCTCCGACACCGAGACGTCCGGACAGATTGATCGGGGAAATATTCGAAGACGGTTTCCTCCGATCGTTCGTAATGTTACCATTATTTGCATTCGCGAACGGTATACTTGGAAACGCGATTTAAATAGACAGCTTGTTTGTAAACGGGGGATTATATGGCAGCTGTCAAACCTCGCTATGTTTTCATATCTTATAATCCCGCTCGCGGTCGCGATATAATGGCTCATAAACTTGTTTCTTTTATCGATACGTACATTTATATCGATATTTCCGTAATTTTATATGTACATATATGTACATGCGACGGAAAGGTGCGATTATTTCACTTATTGCTGCGAAACCGAGGGGTTACATCACGGAACATGTACGCAGGGATATAATTAAATTAAGGCAAACAAGACGGTTGAGAGATGAAAATAGATAAACGAAAATGAAAAGTAATTTTATAGTTTAAATGTATGTGTGTGTTCGCTGGTCTATGCTGTGCTTTAATAATATCCTTTTGCGTTCGCAGGTGAAGTCAAACCGGCGGATACGTTCTTCCATAGCGTAAGTTCCCTTTTATTCTTTTTTCGCATTCGCGATTATTTTTATTAATTAAGTTACGATGGCTTCTGAATACGAAAGAAACGGTAAATTAGTGCCCATTTTATTATTTCATGAAAAACCGACTATTTCTCAGATTTCATCTTGCAGAGATCTTTGATTTTTCTCTCTGTAATTTTCACGACATGTCGCTGCTGCTCTGTATAATTAAGAAAAGTGAAAGGATCAAAGAAAATTCATAGCATCCATTGAACGTGTTTATTCCGCATTCGACGATACCATCACGAAATATCAACGATGAATATCGACTTCTCACGATTTTACCTTTGCTCGCGCTCTTTAGGCGCAAAGGCTCGAGCAGCATCGCGCGAAGATTTCGTTCATCGATGATTAGCGCGAACTTTCTATCTGACGATGCTGACAAGCGACACGTAAGATCGTGATAGTGTATGACGCAACTCCTTTCTCTCCCGGCCACAAAAGATCTTTCCTGGTGCCGTGTTGGTAAAAGTTCCTTGTCATCCGCGACGGTTAATCTTTTATCTCGCTAAAGTTTTTTTTTTTTACCGGGGAGACTGTAGAGTAAATTTAATTCTTATACGCGAGTCGTAAAATAAATATAGAATATTTTTCCTAATCAGTTTTTGTGTCGATTCATTTTGTATATTTTATTATTTTCTCCGCAATATATGATTCATGTCACGAATTATCCTCTGCGATGTTCCACGCGGTAATTCTATCCACTCAACTCGCGATGAATTACTGTAATAAGTATGATGAATATCACTTTTAGAAAAAAAAAAAAAAAAAAAAAAAAANTCCATCTTCGTATTCAAATTACACAGCACAAAGAAATTATAAGTAATATATGTAATTTCTGCAGCTTTCACTCGGGAAGGAAGCAAACGTGCAAACAATTATGATAAGTCCACTCTTCATTTAATTGCTATAATAACCGACGTGAAGTTGGATTTAGTACTGCAACTACCGACGACGGAATGGAATTTCTCAGTTTCGCGCTGTACTCGCGTAAGAAGTGAACGTACGATTTTTCCGACGAGAGGGGAGACTTTTAAAACAGAATCGCGTCGTGCAAATTTTCGAATCGACGAAAATTTCGCGAGCGAAACGTTTGTCTTTGCTCCGATCGTGCGCAGAGAATCGCCAAAGAAACTTCTGCGTCAAAGCAACGTCGCATTGACCTTGCGATTACGCGAAAGCAAGAGACTATTTTTATGTGTTTTGCCTCTTCTCTCATTGTAACCGATAAGGTACTACGTCGAGCTACGACGATTCGCTGTTGTACAATTTGTTCGATGATAATGGCGTATTCTCGTCGCGATAAGACGAGCCTTTTCGTTACTTTCGACTTTCGACGATCCTAATAATCATCAGCATTGATCTCGTAACCTCGATGCAATTTCTCTACAAGGTGTCCCGGAACCTCGTAGACTCGGTGGTCGAAGCATAACTTTACGGTGCGCTACACATGATACGATGATATAATGTAGAAAATAGAGACGGTAACGGATCACTGCGAGAATATGTAATACGCTCCTTGGGATTTAGCGAGAGCTGCGCGAGCCACATCACACGCAATCGGAAATTGCTGCTTCATCGATGATTGAGCTTGTTTCTTGAAAGTGGAATCAAATTTCGATTAGATTAAAATCATCGGAGATAAACACTCAGTATCCTGATGGAAACATTCAAACGTCGAAACGGCAACCGAGCATGCGTGGTTTTTGCGGAAGAATCGGTAGGTCGATTTCTCGAGCATGCGACGACGCACGAAAAATCTGGATTATACGCGGAGAAATCCGAGCGAACGGACGAAGGAACGAACGAGCACATGTAAAGAAACTCGTTCTCTCCCTCGTCTTCCTCGCCGTCGTGATAACGTAACTCGAAATTACAATCATAGAGAAATGAGCCCGCAACAGGAAACACGATCGGACGTAACACTATATACTTTCTCCATCTGTCGCCTCGTCTCTCTCGCTCCCGATCGGCTGACGGAGAAAATTGACCGAAGGAGCGGGGAAGGATCGCGGTTCTCACTGAAACGGAAAGGATAATTGAGGAATCGGATAATTGCAATAACGTCGTAAGACCAGAAATGCTCGGGAGCGAGTGTATTTTTCACGTTGAATTTACGAACTAAATTTGGTATGAAGAGAGGGAGAAAAGTGTAGAATCCCTACAATGAGTATTTTAACGAAACTTATCGCGCGGCACAGCAACGTGACGATAGTTGGTTTCGCGCATACACACACCTAGTTTGACAAATATTAATATATATATATTTGCTCAATGAAGAAGAGCTGATCGACGGTTAAAGCGCTCCACGCGCCGTAAGCTCACAGAATCGAGCGACGGATGAATTAAAATTTCGCCACGTGATATCGCGCTGATAAGGCGCGTGCGGACCGTCGCGTGTTCGCGGCGCAACGATAGAGAAAGAGAGCCGTTCACCAGGCAAGATCGAAGGCAATGTTCTCGCTTATCATTAAAGTCATTGCGTAAATGGGGGGACCCTGGAAATACACCGGTCGATTATTTATAGAGCGGCTTAAACGGTGCCGAGTCCGCCCCGTCGTTTCACTCCCCCGCTTTCAAATAATTCCATGCCGCGCACGTGATTATGTGCACACGCCCGATATTATCGCTGACATATAGAAAAATTCTTCCAGGCTCGCCGTTTAGCGTGACACATTTCGAATGCGACGATTACGACGTTTTCGCTCACTCTGTTTCTCCCCGTCGTCTCTGTTTCCCTTTTTTCGCTCTTCCTCCCTCTCCCTCTCTCTTTCCATCTATCCACCTCTCTTTCTCACTCGATACGATGATACCGTTGTTAATAATAGCGCAACAGCATAATCCTTGACCGTTGCTGGCACTTTGATGTCGATAACAACGTGCGAGATATCGCGTTATAGCCGATGTTTTGCCAATTAACGCATTCATCTCCCCCCCCTCTCCAGTGGAATGTAATTGCTTTTGCAACACAGTGCGGATGCCTGAAAGCATCTTTAATTCATCAAGACGAACAGTATAATTGTTAGGAATCCGTTGAGGCATTGATGCAGCATTGTGTCGATCCGATCGACGCCTTATTTCAAGTTCAGGACAATTTAGAAGCGTACTCATGTCTTCTTGTACGATTAAATAGCTGTTCTCCACCGATTCACGACTACAGAATCCCGGATAATGATCGAGAAGTCAAAATGATCGAATGCTTCACGTTGTAATCCGTCGTGATGTTTTTTTCTCTCATCGGCATTGCAAATGCGAGATTTCTTCTCGCGACCGCGATCTCGATTCCGATGAATTACGAAGTGGAATTTCCTTTACACATGAACGTCTTAATTTTTACGACCACGTTTCTTCTTCGCTCGACGCATTCGCTTCTTAATCGCACGGTCGAAGAAGTGCAATATCTCGCGTTACGTAAATATTATTCCACTTCTTACACGAAGACAGCTGTTACGTTCTGGCAATGCTACGTTTTAACTTTTTTCAAGGTACTCGAGTCTGCGCAACTTTCAGCCTGTTTATTCAACTTTGCCCGCTTAAGGATTCCCGCGATACTTTGATGCTATCGAGACAACTTCATCGAGTCGACTATTTGACGACGTATCGATGATTTTTTCCGATACTGAGTATTCTTTTGGATCGATATCAACTAGATATTAATACTTGAAAGCTAGACTCACGCAGTAATCTACACGGTGTCTCGGAGTTGGCGAAGACTTTAAAGTCGATTCTTATTTCTTATCTTGGTCTTAAAGTTGACGTCCCTCGTTTACTATTCTTTTTCTTTTTCGAAATTTTTACAGTCAGTGGTAATTACCAGCGGAAAAATTGGCATCTCCATACTTTGATGTGTCGTGCGCACGTTTGTCCGTCGCGGGAAACAGACGCGATACGTTCGCGAGAATGATATAACTCGCGATTTGTTTGTCAGTCCCGTATAGCTCGTTCTCTTCTCGTTCCAACCAATAATAATCCAAGCATGCGCTTCGCACGCTCTATCTGTGTTTTCGCGAAGTTTAATCTAGCACACGTACAAGGACCCGCTCGATGCGCACGCACCAACACACCCGCGCATCGAGCGCGTTGCATCATTTACACATTCTTCGCTCGAACATTCGGCCGTCGATACACATCCGACACGTTGAATCGCACGATTTGCTGAGGTCGTATTTGCACGTATGCGAATAATCCACCGCGACATACGCCGCTGAAGTACGATTCGAGGCGAAGATAACACGTGTACGTGATAACCGTTGCGGACGACATGTGATCGGAAAACACATCGGGCGTTTTGGGCTGCTTCAGGTTGCATCAGACGTTCTGACTAATTAATTACAGTTAAGGATCGCCCGTCCAAACGTGGTCCCCCCAATTTAACAATTCTAGTCTAATAAATGCTTGTCCTAAATTCGACAGAGTGTAATGGATTTCTAAAAATAATTTAAGTAATCACTTCCTGTTTATTTCCTCCGTTCGAAGATACATTGTTCAAAATAATCACAATATTATCATAATCTGCAACAAGATACTTTATCGCGCGAGAAAATACGAGTATTTGCATATTTTAATCTAATCTGGGATATTTCTCGGAGAGCGGCTGAATAGGTTCGAAAAGTTCGTGAAGTTTGAGCCTGTTACGTATATAAGTTTTTCAACAGCGATACGCGATAAGTCAGCGTTTTGCGCAGTGTGCATACGAGCGTATCGCCGATAAATTAAATTCTTATCAATTAAGTAATATCGGCGCCTTCGCAAATTGTTCATCCTGAATGTGTGATCGAACAGTTCGTCCATAGTCATCGAGCTCGGTCCTTCATCGAGCGAAACGAGGTAGTAACGAAAAAAATGTCGAGGGATCGGTCCGAATATTACAAGAGGATGAGATGCTGCGTTCGAAACTTCGTTCCCCGAAATTTATCAATTAATCGTAATTGGAAATAGCTTTCTCGATTCCATAAAATGTTCATCGAAGAGTTATTAACTTCGAATTAAATAAACGAATGAATCGTTGTTTTGAAAGCGCTCGATGTCTTCTCCATTCATTACGTAATTGATATACACGGTGCGATTAGAAAGTGTTTTCACGCTGAATCGCCTCTCTCACATGTATCTGGTTCCTTTAATCAATACCACGTGCCAAGTTCAAGATAAAATCCCGAATGTCTCTGCGATAAGTCAGTTTATTTCTCGCTGCACGCTCTCTGTCTTCGGTAATTTTATTGCGAACAACACGCGCACAAGCACACATGTACGTAACGTTTATTCTTCGTTATTTTATTTCGATAATAAAACGCTCGTCTCATAACCAGCCTCGAATTATCACCTGCCAAGAATGCAGATAACATCAAGGATGTATACATGTGTAGATGTGTCACGATGTTTGCGTACTGCTGACAAATTTATTTCATTAGTAACAATTTGTTCCGTCATTTGGAAGATGGTATTCCACGAATGGTATCCTCAGGTACATAAATCAAATCACGGGGCGGATGGGACCTCGGAATTTCATTATTATTTTAATGGATTTTAGCGCTCGCACGACTAGTTTTCCACGATGGCGAGCGATTCGCACAAAGAGTCGCGCGAGTGATTTCGGCCGCTCTCTCGGCGGTTTCGACCGATTGGGTCGATCCGCCGTCTAAATTGGTCAGAGCCAGTGGGTGGAAGTACGCGATGTGTGCTATTACACCATGCGTATCGATCGCGTCTCCGGTTCAATCCTCTTATGCGTCTTCCGTCACCGAATTGCCACGCCGCCTAAAAATACCGCGCGGAGTCGCGAGGCGCGGAGGGAAGCCAGTCGCTTACATCTGACATAATTTTAGCACCAGCGGACGTTTATTCCGCCGTTGTTGTTGCCGCGAATTTTATAACACCGCCACCGCCGCTTGATAACAGACAGAAAGTCTGCTTTTTCATTCGGTCGGACAGGTTTACGGCTTCCTCAGCAGGTGGAAGAGGAGCCTCTAGGTGCCCTTCTTTACATAGAGAGGAAAAAGAAGTCCGTTATCGTGGAACGGTGCACAGTGCGTGAAAAACAAGCCATGGCTGGAAACAGCCGTGTGCAGTCCCGCTTCCTCCATGGTGCAGGGCGTAACGTTGCGCTCGGAATACCAAGTGAGCGTGATCCAAGGTCGGTCGTCGGATAAGTTCTGGTTCTTCACAGCAGCCCGCGATCGCCTACACCGTGGCTCATTTCGTCTGATCTAATCGCGAGAGAGCCCCCACTTTGTGGGACTGAAAGATCACGCGTGTGAGGGAAGAAAATTCGCACGCTGTGAAGCTAAGTAAGGAAACGGAGAACGCGGTATCAATCTACCGGTCTGTATTCTCCTCATGACGAAGTCTAAAGGCTATCGGACATAAATCGACTCGAGCGTATGCGCGAACGCACGAGCCTCCTCGCCAATGAGGCGATCGCTGATGAGTCACCCGTATTGTTCCGCGGAATTGTACCAGCAATTACTGAATATATGTACATATATATATATATATATATTCGTATCCTACGTAGCACGCTTACGCGGATTCGTGCTCGGAATAGCAAAGACCTTTCACGATCGGTCAACGAAACAATTGAAAGGCTCGTTGAATCGTACGAAGGCGAAAAGGGCGAATCGGAGGGGGTTTATTACGCCGTGAAGAATTAGAGGCGCATCAGTGGAGAAGCGTATGTTGAATCAACGTCGGGACGCCACGTTTAGCGCAACGTGGACGCGGAACTGCACGTTCCTCAGGTTCGTCAACCGGCGTTCTCCCGTGGCCAACGTCGGAGGCCTCCGACTCGCCTTCGCGAGAAGTGCGCGGGGGTCGCAGGTGGAGGAACCGAAGGTGAAGAGGAGGGGCTCGCGGGTGGAGGGCAGGGTCGCGATGACGGGCGACGTGGAGTGCGGAGCGAAGCGGAGCGGCGTGACGCGGCAGCGCGGCGAGTGGGAGGTGGTGGTTCGCCCAACCGACCCGTTATATTATCTCGCGTTAGTCAGTCAGTCGTGCCAGCGATCCCGTGGCGGTTGAAACGGAGTCGTTGTTATCGTGGGCTGCGTGCACAGCGCGTGTTCGAAACGATCGACTGATCGACCGGTCGAATCGCGCGACACGTTTCGAGTGAGGTCAAAGTGTCGGCCGGAGACGCGCCCGCACATCCGCACTGTGGAGTAGAGTGATATCAAGGGATTATCCGTAATCAGCGCTAATTGATCCGCGATTGATCGATCGTCGCAGTGGTCTTTGATAGATAGTGCAGTTGGGGATACGTGTCCCACGGAGAAACTCGTGTATTCCGTCTCGCGGGGTCGAGAAACTCGTCGCGTAGACGATTATCTTCTTCCACCGCTTGCGACAGAGGTGGAACCTCGTCGGTTAATTAGCGACCGCGACGGTCTTCCGGGATACTTCGTCGTGATTGACGGTGTGTGCGGGGCTGCTAGTGAAAGTAAACCCGGTGTCTCTCGATACACCCGCACCGACCGCCGCGCGATTGCCGCTGACTAGCTGGCGAGCGCAGTGCCGAGTGACCTGTTATCGTTATCGTGAAAGTTGCACCGAGGTCGCCATGTCGTTGTCCCCTCCTTAAGTCTTCGGCTTTTTAACAGTGACTCGTGGCCAACGTGGCGTGTGCTTTTCCTTCTCTCCCGGACCTGTTTCTTTCGTTCTCTCTCTCTCTCTCTCGTTCCCTGCCTTTGCTCTCTTCGCTTCCGCCGCGACGAATCGAGACCGCACGTGGACGACGGTGGGACATCGGATTTACATCCAACGACAATGACTGTGGTAATGACGATGATCGTTTGTCCGATGATGCAGTCGAGGTGCATTCGATTCGACGGCTGACATTCATATATTGCACGCGTCGTGTTTAGCGCCGAATGTGCCGTATAAAGTATGAGTGGGAACGTAGTCACGGCGATTGTGCATTCAACACTGTCGTATAAAGTCGGAGATCAGAGATGCGAAGGGTTAATATAGTCGTAGATCGTATCATTTCACCCGAAGTCAGAAGCCACGGATGCAAATAGCGTGCAATTTTAAATTCCGCGCTTTCATCTAGAGATTCGTAGCCCGAGACAGTTGAGTACGTTACTAAGCTAGAAGCTGCGCGTGCAAGTTTGCGAGTAAAAATAGCCGACTTTGTCTAAAGTTAGAAATTATACGCGGAGAGTTAATAAGTTAAAAGAGCGTCTAAAGATAGAGACTACCCTGCGTAAGCTGTCGAATGGTATTCATGGTCGCTTGTTAATTAAAAACAGAGAGCTTGCGTTCGTAAAATAATAAGTAGACGTCTGTCCGAAACCATAAGCTTCGCGCGCAGGAAATTAAATACTCGACGATATTATATGAAAGGCATAGTGTGTTAAAAAATTCGATGGAAAGCTCGATACGATAAGGACGATCGTTCGTAAGTAAATAGCAATCAACGTGTCACTTTGATAAGCTACGTGTCTGAGAGATTAAATTGCCAAAGTTACGCGAAAAAGCCGATAATCCGATAGACCGATAAGAATCTTCACAAAAAATCAATCGCAATTGATATTTCTTCATCGACACGGATAAATATCGATTATGCAAAAAGGATGGTTACAAAACGTGGGTATAATAAGTGTTATTTTATAAACTGAAAGTAATTCAAGGATTCGTATCCTAGAAAAGAAAGAAAAAAAAAATAATGACGGGAGGTGAAAAATAACGCAAGAAGGTGACCAAAGTCTTTTAACGATACGCGCATATATGTGCCGCGCATACTGCTTAGCATCACAATTACCACATTAAACGAAATCGTTCAGCGACACGTGGCATTAATGTCGATTCCGTATTGTTACAGGTTATGGAGGAAACGAATACCTTCGTTACGTGGCCGTCGCGACTGAAGATCGGGGCGAAGTCGAAGAAAGGTATAAGCCACCAATCATCTTTGATGTAATCAGCGAACCGATTCGATATCGCGTGTTTATAAAAGGGCTATCCCAAGATAAAGAAAAAAAAAGTATCGGAGCTAATTGGCCGAAATATTTTTGACGATGAAAATTATAAGGTCGCAGCGCACGATAATCATCGCATTTTTTCGGGGAAAGGAGCGATTTCTTGCGAAATAACATTGCAAGACGTCGTGCATATCGAGATCCGGTCAAAAGTATATTACACGAATTCGAGGATAACTGCATTCGACATTCTCCTTATGGTAATTTTAAGACGGTGATAAACGGCGTGCAAGCGGAAGTATCGCGAGAGTCTCGAGGGCGACGTTGAATTAATATTCGACGAGACGCGTGTCCTTGAAAGCGCACTCGTGGGAGACGTGAAAATCACCTTTCACGATCCTTCGCAAATTCGCCAGTGTTCGGACGTGCGTAGTTGTGCGTCCGCAGATTACGTCAATCGCCGTGGGTCGTGTCTCTTCGTCAGCTGACGCCTCGCACACGTTGCTTTGCGATCTCTATTTAAAGTCTCGTCGCTGGCGCTGTATAAACGTATACAAAATTTGACCGAGGTCGAAAGTTGGGTAAAAATTTTTACGTCGGGAATTTCACACTTATTTCCTCAAAAGGAGAAAAAAGAAATTTCTTTTTCGTGTCAATTTCAGTATCAACGGTCTTTTTGGAATTTTTATCGATCGACAGGACGGAGGAGTGTAGTTTTGGCCAAAAAGCAGCGTTCTATATTTCGCATTACATCGGTGTGAAAATATCGTTTCGGTTGGGAAAAATTGTCGCTCGGCGAAATGCACGACGTTTCGAACGACGCATTAAAAATCACCGATCGGAATTATCGGAGCGAAAACTTCCAGATAAATACGAAGGTTTCCGTATTTAATATCGAGACCGAAAGGACGCGATGACCGTGCGCGACCTCGTGCTGCGAATTGATTAGTCGCCCATCCCGAGTGTTCTTCACGTCAATTGTGAGATTATTATTTCGTCACTTATCTCTTGACAAATAAATTACGCGAGAATCGATCCGTTCGCTCAAATCGTCGGCCGTCCGGTTGTTAGTCGCCATGGAAATTTTTCGGTGATTCATCCCTTCCTCGTGACTAAACAGCTGTTGCATCTTTCTTCTCTATCTCTTTTTGTCTCACTCCCTCACTGTCTATTTCTCTCCCTTCCTCCTGCTCCCTCTCTCTCTCTCTCTCTCTCTCTCTTCCTATCTCGCGTTCTCTTTCTTTTTTCACGAGTGCGTGGCAGCCTATGTAATCTGGTATAAATAAGTCTGTCGAATATCTTTTCGGTGCTCGCCATGACTTTATCGCCAGAATGCATGATTTATTCACACATATACGTGCACGCGCGCGTAGCGATAGGGATTATTGCAATTCATTCACAAGCTTTATTACTATCGTTCTAATAATTCTCTAGATATAATTGCGGAAACGTCGATGACCGGCGGGAATCTGTCGTTAATCTCCGCGACGAGAATTTGCCCGTGGTATATAATGCTCTGATCGATTCAGCACACCTTGTGCAATCCTATGATTGCGGTAAAAACGTCTCGTACAAATGCGCGACGCCGTGCGATTTTGTTCACGTTAACGTGTTGACACGTAACATCTTCAAACAACTTGGAACCGATTTCTTCTCGACGAAGCATTCTCATTACTATCGCACATGAATCGATTCAGTCGATTAAATAATCGTTTCAAATATATTTCATTATTTAATCTCAATAACATTTCAATAATTTATTTTGAATTTTGGCATTACACACACACACATATATAACGACTTATATAGAACTCATTAATGCTTATTACTGAAACTAACGAAGCTCTGAGAGAAAAAATGCGACGTCCCCGAATCGTTATTAAAATTCAATTCCACACACATGATTAGCCACAAAATAGCAGATGGAAACATCGGCGATTCCGCAATGTAAAAAACTCAATGTGCGATCCCGCGTTTATATCGTGATATGTTTCATCGCGAATGGCGATACACACGGATGCAGTACTCGAAATAGTATTTACGTTTGAGGCAGCATCTCGGGTCAAATTGACTCACGCATCATGCGCTTCAGAGTTAATAGATATTATCGAGTTATCTCTTTCGTGTCGCGATAGAATATCTCTCCTCGCGATTTGACCCGCTCTGAAAAACGCCGTCGCGAATTTTGCGCAGCGAATTAGCCAGTTTCGTCCGATCGAAACGATCGGCTAATTGTCCGCGAGTGAATTAAGTGTCAATCGGTAAGCGCAGCCGCCACTCTAATTCCGCGCGGAGACGCGTTCGTCGATGTGTTCGGAGTCACGTAAGCCGAACGCTGTTATTCGACTCGTATAACTCGTAGCTGTTTTTTATGTATCTCCCGATGCGTAACGGCTGTGATGTATATTGCAATACGCGAAACGAAGACGAGTGGAAGGTCGCGCGGAAAGTAACGTCGAAAAAAAAAGGATCGAAACGTGAAAATTGCGAATCACGAGAGGATCAATCAGACAGGGATCTGCGTCTGATGCTGGTATCTCAATTTCGAAACGCATTCGTTCATTTCGAAATTGGAATTATAAAGCGTCCTACGCGATAAACGGTCAGTTGACCTTTGCCTATCTTTACATCACATCGTAGTTGTACTCTAGCGGGTGGATATTGATTGGTGCTTGTTTGCTGAGTAAACAAGAAAACTCGAAAACCAGATATCGCGTGACTCGTAATATTGCTGTTTCACCAAATTATCCGCCTGGTTTGTACATTTGACCGAGACCGAGTTAATACATGGGATTATACCCCCGTGAGAGGTCGTATCGGCAAAGTACTCTGTGTTCTCGCTTAATTAAATTCGCCTTTAAGCGAATTAACTTACGGACCGTGTTTTTTCTGGATGCACGATGTACAAGATAACCGAAGAAATGTCCAAATAGATGACGAGGCTTTTGACGGAGCATGAAATGCGGAAATTTTCTTCAATAAGAGAATGTGCGAGAACTTTGCCGTTTTTGTCGGAAATTATTGACTGATTAATTACTGATTAATCAGCGATCGAATCCTATTTACAAGGCATTACATGCCTCACATCTGTTAACATCGAATTATCTCCAATTTTACCTCGTATGCTTCGTTCTCATTGTAGTTTTCCCCATAACATATCGCGTTATCGCTCGTTTTTCCTCGAACGTGTTTTCCCGAGTCGTGAAAATTATCACTGAGCACGACAATATGTCTCGCGTACGCGCGCGCTCTATTACAGAACATCCCGGTATCACTCGGATTATCAGGCGAGCCTCCGACACCTGCCCTGCTCTTGTTACTGCAACGACGCCTCTTATCGCCTCGTCTGCGCAAACAGGACTCCCGTCTCTACTTTCTATGCTCGGCGTGACTAAAGAGGTCAGGTCATCGCGGGTCTTAAAGTCTTGCACCGACGCACGAGGAATCCGCTATACACCGCTGTGTCGAGAGTGGACGTCGCTTCTAAAAATAACCCAACTCGCCGCCGTGAGAGGTGATAGGTGTTTGTGCTAACGGCTAACAGCCACGGCGAGATCGCGACCGAGAACATTTGCGATCGAAGGGGATAACGGACGCGATTAGGTCGCAGCTTCTGAACGACGCTGAGAATCGTTGTTTTTACGAGAGCCTTTACGCAATGCTTCATTTTTCCCAGCGAGATAAAAACATATTTTACGACATACTAACGATACTAATGAAACTGATATGGTATCATGTGTTGATTGCCAGCGAGACCCGTCCTTTCCTTTCCACTCTCGAATCGTACTTTTTTCTTTTTTACACGGGAGACTCCTCGCGCTACCGGGCTCAGAAAGTGGAATGCGAAAGCTATTAATTAATATGTTTTATTGATTCGTGTTTTTGATGTATGACCTCGAATGCGACGTGTATTTTCGAAACACGAGAGACGCACGATCGTTATATTCCGCCAATGAGCGCGTAGCCGCGCTCGACTTTGGAACACATTATACAGTCGAAGGCCTCGCGTTCAGGAAGAAGCGTGCGTACGTGCGCTTGCTTCGCGAATACTAAGAGTAACTTCTAAATGGCTATCGATTGACATCGGTTCTGCGGTCAGTAGTAGTTCTCGCCAACATTGTGTTCCGTAACTTCGAGGCTCCGCGCGTCGTTCTGACTAGCCGAATTATTTCAAGCTGTTATATTAACTGATGCAAATGCATACAAATATATCTCGTTGCGCTCCTCGAGTAGAATCCCTCTAGTTCTCTAGCCCTCTAGCCCTCTAATTCGATTTTCCGTATCTCTTTTTGCAGATCCGCACATAAAGGTCGCAGGACGACTAGATGACGTACGATCGGCGAAAGAGAAGATAATGGAAATTTTAGACACACGGGTAAGTTGCAATCCTAGAAAATCGCAGGTTTTTGAAGGGCAGAAATTCCGCGTCTGTTTGATATGCGATACGATAACGAGCGAAAAGGATCGGGTGGCGAAATTAAAGATACGCCGAATTAATTCATTCGATCTCATTTGGATTCCGAACAAAAATTTGAAAAGGTCACACGACCGAATGGTAACCTCGAGAAAATATGTCGAACTGTAAACGGGAGTCTCGCGAATATTGTAATACTGACGGTTGCGGAGACGTAAGATGATGATTCCTTTCTTCATCGCGGTGCAACGTTACCTTAGCCCGGCAACAATTCCCAGGCTTCCGCGCGATACAGGAAACGAGCGGCGTTGCACGCGAAACTCGCGAGATCGAGTGCAAGGACGTGCCTGTTAGTACCATTATCAGTGACCAAAGAGTGCACGGCAGATGGGCGATTACCGAATTCAATTGCGTGACATTCGAGAACGGCCATCTGTTCCTCTTTGCACAGCCGTTACGTCATCATACCTGCGTGCGCGCGCGGCAACAGAAATCGTGAAAACCGTCGACGATGCCTCGCGATTATCTTTACGGTGCAATTTCGAGAAAGTTCAGCACGGCTTTGATACGCGAGGATACATAATAACTGCTGAAAAGTAAAAAGCCAAGACAACATGAACGTGTGTTTTATAGCCGATCTGCCCAGGTGTAGCGTGAATATAATAATAATAATCATTAACAAGTCTGCACCTATATTTATCCATCTCGTTTCGAGTGAAATCAACGATATCTCCGTCCTCAGGTCGTCAGACTTCTGCATCGATTCCTCCGGCTTTACCGTTTCTTTTTGATTTCTTTCGCTGTACCTGCTTAATTACGTCGTGCAAAAGTAAGGAAGGTCGAGGGAGAGAGACGCGACGAGCCGAAAGAGGAGAGCGACTCGCGTGAGAGATCACGCAGGAAGAACACGCATTCTATTTATACGTCACCCGCGGTCGCGAATTCTCAGGCGAGAAAGCGAATCGTCACGTTTAGACGAGCAGTCGAATCGTCGAATTGCGTTGTACACACACATACGTGCACGCACATATACTGCGACAGAGAGAGAGAGAGAGAGAGAAGTTAAAGGCCAACGCACGCTAAACGACATAGCATAAGAACATAAACATCTTCATCAATCGAGCGCTCTCAGCACGTCCAAGGAGAACCGGAGAAAACTAATCTTCAAGTTATACACGCGGTGGTTACGTATAATAAATTAATTTCTTCTTCGCCGGGCGTGCGCGCGCGCGCAGACCGGCAAAATCAAATGAAACTTAAACCCGATGAGATTCCGAACTGAACTTTTCCCCGGGTGAATTTTTCCGCGTTTTCCATAACCGGCGATTTCAGGGACGACCCTTCTCGCTCACACTACGGTACTTCCCTCGCGGATACTCCCGGTTACAGAAGAAGCCACGACGGTGCGACGAGACGACGTGGTCGGGGCCGCCGGTCCCGTTACCGTTAAATCGCACGGAGGTACGCGGACTTGTCGCTTTTTGCCGGCCATACCGGGCGTACCGATCGATTCCTGTTACTTTGTCGAACGCATTCCGCGGTGCGTGCCAGAGGCACGCAGACGGGCGCGGAAGAGCGCGGGGCGTGGAAGGACGCGTGTACCCTTGCCGAGAAAGGAGGATAATCTCGTGCGCTCGGTTTTCGGGAAGGAGAATCGCGAAGTTTCCACCTGCCCCTCCCCGCCCGTCCTGTCTTTGTGCTCGTCGCGATCCGCCACGCTTTAAAATAGACACGCCAAGCTCCTCTGCGTGAAAAGCGCGCACCAGGGTGGGACAGCGATACTGTATAGCGCTAATTAAGGGACGCGAATGGCGCGTAAATAGCGCGACGGTATTAATAGAGACAGAGAGGGGAAGACGTGCGCGGGATATTCAATATCTCGGCGAGGTGTCGATGCAGCCAGGATGTCCTGAATTTCACGTAGTCGCGCGAGTCTTTCTAGAGCGATACCGACGGCTGGTTCTCCGGAAGGGCTTTCTGAAATCGCACGACCGGATCGCCTCGCCGACTCGCGACGCTATCGCGTGACTTTATGTAACGCTCGGCCACGCGATATTTAAAATCGCGCACGTCGAGCGCGACTCGTTTCGCGATATGCTCTGAGAAGCGCGGCTCACGCCACCGCGGAGTCGACGAACGCTCGCGGCGGAAATACGCGAGAAGAAGATACCACCACACGCTCGTGCGAAACGTAACGCGAATGTATAATCAATGCTCGGATAGATAAAGACGTAGGAGAGATGTTATCGGAAGACGAGAGCGCACTTTCTCTCCGTGGCCGTCGCCGAGTTGTAATATCTTTCCCACGAGGATCTCGCAAAGAAGACGGAAACTTCTCCGTTCGTCGTCAAATTAATCGGTAATATCGCGATAATCTGGCGATTTGTATTTCCGACTCGGTCGTTCGGACTCGTCGCGGTAAAAATGTTCACGGCGGGTTGAAACTTTCGACTTGAATGTCGCTCATTAAATCTCTTCCGGCGCCGAGCCCACTTCGATCGTTGCAGCGAATCGGCTGCGCTCGATATATAGTGTTTCGTTATTTTCTCAAATTGTACCGCTATTTTATCATTCAAGCTCTCTTTCGCCGGTGCGTAACGATGTGACAAATACTTGGCTTGCAGCAAAGTAACAGGGTGACCATGAAGCTGGACGTCAGTTACACCGACCATTCGCACATCATCGGTAAGGGCGGTCTGACGATCAAGCGGGTGATGGAGGAAACCGGCTGCCACATCCACTTCCCTGACAGTAACCGCAGCAATCATCAGGACAAGAGCAATCAGGTTTCCATCGCTGGCGAGATGGAGGGCGTCGAACGCGCCCGCGCTCGTGTCAGGGTGAGGGGCTCCTTCCGCGTGCGAAATCGGTTCTCGCCCCGAATAGAGTAGCTCATGTGTCCGGTCTTCGCCTTTCAGAACCTGACGCCTCTGATCTTCTCGTTCGAGCTGCCCATTATGGGCGCGTCGCAGAGCACTCCGGATTGCACCTCGCCGTACGTGGTGAAGATACAGGAAAAGTACAACGTGCAAGTAATGTTTCGCACGAGACCGAAGCTGCACGCCACTCTGGTAGTCGTCAAAGGCTGCGAATGGGAGGTTTCCCAGGTCAAGGAGGCGACGGTTCTGCTGATTCGTTACATGTGCAAAAACTTAGCTGTGAGTGTGCGACGGCCGTAATCGGAGTTCGATCGGCCGTTCAGCCGTCTGTCGCGCCTAATACACTGATCGTAAACGTTTCTTTCCCTTTCTCTACTATCGTCTAGAGTCAAATTCAAGTACAAATGTCGATGGAGATCTCACCCCAACATCACAGCATCGTATTAGGGAAGCAGAGCAGCAACCTAAAGATGATCATGCAGCGTACCGCCACGCAGATCATGTTTCCGGATGCCGGCGATCCGAATATACCCAGCCTCAAAAAGAGCAACGTCACCATCACTGGCGCCATACACAATGTTTACTTGGCTCGACAACAGTTAGTGGTAAGATGGCTCGTTTTTGCGTCTTATACATCTTTATTAATTAATACTCGGTTGAAATTCTCTTCGATGAATATTAAGCTTGGAAAATTTCTCGTCGAATGTTAATAGTCTATACATATTACGGCGATTATTATTCCTTCACAGGGTTCATTACCGTTGGTACTGATGTTCGATCTTCCGGAGGACTCTGTATCCGCCTCCGTCGACACCGAAAAGATCTCCCAACTCATGCAGTCCCTGGACGTGTTCATCAACATCCGTCACAAGCCGAAGCAGAGTACACTCTCGGTGATCATTAAGGGTATCGAGAGAAATGCCGGCAACATTTACGAGGCGCGGAAGCAGCTGCTCGGGCTGGACGAGCCCAGGGTCCACGCCGAGATACCGGCCACTTACCACATTCCAAACGCCGGCAGTATCTTCCAAGGCAATTCCAACAACGACATCAGTAAGTGTCGAAATAGAGAGACCCGACGTCGTCGATCCGCCCAACCGAGGGGGAGATTATTTCGCGCGTCACGTATTATTTCTCATATCTTGAATCGAATTTACGGGGAATCCAAGCGGAAATCACATTCGTCCCGTTCGTTTAGGCTCCGGTAATCTGATGAGCGGCGGAGTGCCGGATAACTTCTCGAGCATGTTGACCATAAACACGCAGAATTCGCAGTACTGCGTGTCGCCCATTCCTCATTCGCCGAATCCTATGGGGCTCTCGCCGCATTGGGGTCTCCCTCATCTTCCGTCCGTGTTCTCGCCGCTGGGAACACACCACCCGTACCCGTACACTCACTTGAACCATCTATTGACGACACAACATATGCTGCACAACAATATGATGCCTCATCCTCACGGTATGTCGAATCACGTGATGCCCGGCCTCGGGCCGTTTCACCACAACGCGTCGACCAACTTCCCTGGTATCCACGGTCTGAATACTAATTCGCTAACGGACAGCAAAGAGGGTAGCAGTGGTGAGATACTCTTCCTCTTCTATTTTGGCGGATCTCTTTTTCTATCCGATTCTTCACATTCTAAAGTTATTTACGAATTTATTTGCAGCTTACTCGTCACTAAGTAGCGTTTCTAGCTCTCTATCTAGTCCCGCTATCAGTCCTCGCAATATTTCGCCAGTTAATCCTACAGATGCTAGTCCTAACTTAGGTGAGTGAAACGTTTTAGAATCCATAGTTTTTCGTAGCTTTTTGACGGGAATCGCGATTTTGATAGAAACGGTCGTCCTTCCTTTCAGCGGATTTATCCAGCATGCTGTCCGATTTATCGGTCACCGACCGACGCGCACCAGGTTGCGAAAAGAAGACTTTGGAGATGGCCGCGCAGCAGAATCTCACGCCCTTCGACTACGAGCAAAAGAAGCTGCTGGCTGCGAAGGCGATGCAGAACAAGCCGAGCAGCAGCGATTACCGCGTGCCGACTTCCGCCTGGTCCGGTTACGGCCTCAGCCAAAGTATTCCGCCTATAACTACGAGTGATTTGAGCAAGGTAATTTACCGGGCTCCCACGATTCGTCTGAAATAATTAGGTCGCGAAGTAGCGGCCCAGCGGGCCGAAGGTAGCTAATAAAGACCGTTGATGCAATTTCTTGGCCCGACGAATTGGCGCCTGAAATATTTATTGGTAAGGCGCGAGTCGAGGCCGAGGGAAGCATCGCCGCCAACTGATCGCTATTTATTTGAATCCAGGAGCTGACGTCACATCCTTCGGACTTGTGGAAAGAGCCGACCACGCCGGTGTTCAGTACCGAGATGGATTTCGGTATTATCTCGAGCAAGGACCGCGTTGGACAGATCGGCATGGCCTCCAACTACATGGACCACACGCCGACCTCCCACTTGAACAAGATCACGTCCCATCGCTACAACGATCTAGCCAGCATGTTGACCAGCATCGGCTTGGAGAAATATATCCGTAAGTATACGAGTTGCTTGATGCGATCGCACGTCGACGCTTCCTTTCTGCTTTCTTGCTCGCTCGCTTCTTCGCATGAGCTGATCGAAATAGCTTTTGTTCTTTTTTCTTTTGTTCACCAGGCCTGTTCACGTCTCACGAAGTGGACATGGCTACGTTCCCTTCTCTCACGGAGAAGGACCTTTGCGAAATCGGAATTACCGCTTGGGGCGCGAGGCGCAAGATAATGCTCTTGATATCCGGTACGTAGGCTTTAAGCGTGCATGAATGGGTGAGTGAGTGTGTGTGTCGCTTTGCGTGCCTCGCAGTTTTCGGGATAACTTATCGATTGATCATCATTTCACTTCGCCCGTCTCTTTCAGAGATGAACAAGCGTACCGTCAGTCCGTTCTCCGGGAGCGCTGCGCCCGGCGCCGAACGGAAGGCGTCCACGTCGTCGGTGTCGACATCGTCGATCGGCAAATGTAATCTGGATACGAAATGGTAGGAGAGCGAGAGAGAGAAAGAGAGAGAGTCGAAAAGAGAGAGGATCGCGCAGCACACTCGTTCGGCGCATCGCTCTGAACGCGATGGTATATCTCGGCGCTCTCGCGGACGGTCGGAGGATGATGTCGCGCGATAACGACAAGCTCGATCAAAATGATCAATTAAGTATGTACTTAATAGAATCGCCGATCGCGCCGAATCAACGGGACGATGCACGGAGCGAAGGAGAGAAGCGTCAGGGTAGAGCGTCATGCGCTAACCTGACCGATCGGATGATTAGCGGATAGATTTGCATGTTGATTTGAAGTTTCTTAGGTAACGGGAGAAGATAGCCGGATTTCGTTTTTGTGGCCGGGAACTGGTTGTATCCTTTTTTTTTTCTCAATTTTTTTTCTCGCTGTTCTCGGCACGTGCCCGGAAGGTGCCTTAGATTTAGGATAGATAAGTGGTTACTACTTTCGTTACTTATACGCTATTTCTGTTTGCTGGTGATCCTTGTCCAGCCGATGAACACGTGGTATGCGCGACGCGTGTTTCGTCACGATAATCGCTTGTCGTTGATAAAATTCCTATTGATCCACCTCGGGCCCGGCGATTATCATGCTTGCGAAACGCCGGCGCGTATGTCTGTATGTCTATCGCGTTCGTTGTATCGTGTCTACGTGTGTATGCGTGTGTGTGTATGTGGTTTGCTCGATGACCGATTGATTTATATGTGTGTGATCAAGTGTGTGCACGTGGGTGCGTGTATGAAAGAATAGTCGGGCAAGAGTGTTTTTGAGTGAATTAGTATCAGCGCGCGATGGCGAAATTTAATGAAATGCGATGGGCGAGGGATGTCCCGTGTGTTCAGCGGCCTTTCGTCCTAGCAAAATTCACATATTTAATTCAGACTAAGCTCGAAAGCAACCGACCAAGCGGCCGCATATCGATTTAGCCGCACACGACGAATTCGTATCGTTGATTAAAAACGCCGAAAGCGAGCAAATGGACATGAATATCTCGGGATATTCTGCCCGGTAAATTTAGCACTGGCGCCGCGTGCACGAAGGCACCCTCGATAAATTACTACTCGCCGAAAGTCAAATTGATACGATAAATTTTGAAAATGCTTTGTAACAATAATGAATCAACGATTCGATTTCATCGCGCATCGTCAACGCGCTGTTACGGCTCGAACGAATACACGAGCCTCTGCACGGCTGCGATTTCGAGTTTTACAAAGTAACAAAGTATTTATTAATTATTCGCGCGAAAGACGCTGGACGCACGTTAAACAATAGACCGCAAGAACTTTTCGTGTAAAGCATGTGTGAAGACAGAACAGTGTAAAACGAATTCTAACGCAATATTTGTGAGTCACACTTCGCGTACTACAAGCGATATTTCGAAGGTTCGATTGGAGCATCGATAACCGGTTAAGTGTAATTCGTGACGATAATCGTCGCTCCGATTAGGAGGCGCGTCAATGTTTCTCTTTCATTGTCCGATCGAAAGAAAGATAATTGAAATGCACTTTGAACGATTTACGACTCGCAGTCGAATTCGAGAGACGGAGTTATATATTTGTGAGAGAACATTTGACGAGTCAGAATTACATTTTTAGACATGTATCTATAAGCATGCGTATCTACATATCTATAAATTTTCGAATGTTTTCACCACGTAAAATTACATAGAATTCTGTCCTGAATTCCATTGCGGATTGTAATGGGTCGTCTAAGATGGACTTTAACTCTAAACTTGGCAAAATTGAGAAAACGAGCTTGAAACTGTATCATAGTGAGAAATATAAAAAGTTGTGAAATTTATCAATAGAATGATCATCAGAAATTCGAAACTGTTGTCTTTCTTACTTTAATTTTTCTACAATAATTATGACGCAAAAAAGAAACGTATATGATGAAATAATCCGGACGAAGTATGTAAGTATGATTTATGCAGTTTTTACAAATCTGAAAACTGTATATTGCCAAGTTTAGATCCCTTCAATTATCCTCGTGGACGCGGAGCGTGACCTTCATTGATCACAGTTGATTTCGCAAACGATTACTGTATAGCAACGCAAACGATTTTTATAGACATAAGATATTTCGTTCTCACCATAATTTATTAGAATTTTTAAGCGTAATTTTTGTTAATTTTTTTTTGGTACAAAGGAATGAAAGCGTTAGGTAGACAAACTCTTGATGCACGTGTCGAAAAACTGATGGTGTGAAAATTATTTCAATATCCATGTGAAAAATATTAGTCGCATCGAACCGATACTCGAACTCGCACGAGAAAAGTTCGACTTACTTGCAGAACAGGAGAAAAATCGGTTCGCTCTTAAGATCCTCGCGCGATCATACGATCAATGATCGTAAATCGATCTCGTAAACGACTTTAATTGCCAAATGAATCCCACGTGAAAATTGAGAGATGGGCTTGAGATGAAGATGGGAGATCGCGCGATCGAACATGCCTAACGAAAGATTTTACTGCGAAGAGTTCTTGACTAAGTTCTTGCGAAGTCTTTTTAAGCGTAAATTATTGTCGTTTGTGCGCGCTCGCGAGTGATCGGAACATTACGAAGATATGTGTTCGCAAAAAACTACGTGTGATATAATATTGGATTGTCCGATTCTGTTATCCGTTTTTCGTTTTCGTTCAATGATGATTTGAAATGGAAAGCTCCTACGGTTCCTCGAGTGCGATCGTTTACTCGAGGACCGAGCAGTTAATTACAAAAACACGCGTGAGCGTGCGTATATGTGCGTGTACGTGTGTACGCGTGGATGGAGGAGGTACATCGTATTCTCACGTGAGAAATCCACATTACACAGTTACACCTGCAATTACACATGCACCTCAGATCCTGCGTCTTCACAGAGGGTGGAAAATAATAATAATTTCGTGGCAGCGATGGAACGTTATATCGCGATAAGTTGTGATATCACTCGTTGTTGCAAAAGAAGTTCTGTCCGGTGAAAGATCGCGTCTCGTCGAGACGATAACCGATTTTTACGGTTGCATATTTCAAAATATATCAGAGAGAAGCAGAATGGGTAAAAGGTATTATTCTCTCGAATATTAGCTCGAGAATATTAGATTCGCCTGAATCTCGCGGCTTTTTCTCTGCTTCTTGAGATTTTCGCAAATACGTGACCTCGTTCTATATATACGGTATGTATCATACCGTATGTATACAGAACGTACGTAATGTCGTATCACGAGATCGTCCACTTCGCCGGTCAGGAGACTCGACGATTTCTTTGCATAGAATGTATCTTAGTCTTGAGAAGACCGTCAATGTTCCTACGTAAATATGTACTGATCCCGTGCGAGATTTAGCGAATACGGGTATATAGGTATAATCGCGGAAATTAGTGTTAAAGAGGGGAACGCGCGCGCGCGTAGGAAAAAAGAGACAACGACCAACAAGCTTCTAACTAGCGCTCGAGCGTCTTGATTATCGATGGATGCGCGAATCGATGCGTCGATGATCGTCGGACGGTAGAAAGAAGAAGAGAGGATGATTGGGAAGAGAGAAGGAGACATATCTGAAACAGTTTCAATACATTGAATTACCGTGAATTTTCACGAATTCTCTCTTCTAGTCCCTGCTCACTTGACACTTTTTGCGCCCCGTGCAAATTACATGACAGACTTCTATCTTTTTCATTGTCGCGAAAACGGACCGTAAGAATGCCAACGCGTATGTACGGTTACGATTGACGACCTCGCCCGTAGTTACGCGACACAGAACCGACATTTATGAGAACGCATTGTAAATTATCACGCATTATTAATAGTGTTTCAAGTGCGCACACAATCGTATCATTACGCAAATTACGATGTCACCCTCCTCATTTTAACGACAGATTCGCTATTGCGTTTTACATACTTCCTCGATAATATAAAATTGAAGAAGCATTCTTTTCAAATCTAAAAAATCAAATCGTCTAATACGATAGTTGCAAGGACTAGAGAAAATTAATCTCGAAATTGCGAAGATTGCATTTGAATTAAATCTAATCGGTGTATAGTCTTGCTTGCCTAATGATCAAAGAGAATTTATCCTAATCTATATCTCAATTTAATTGTTATATCATTTAAGACAAGTCTCAACTTTAAGATTAATATCCTTGAATTCTTAAAAAGAGCAAGGTGTAGACCATCGACCTGTGGTTGTGCACGCAATGCCTTACTTCATTTTATTTATATACGTCTGAACGATGAGTTCAGAGAATAGCAAAACGAGATCGAGGAATAGTAAAACGCGAGCGAATCGAAAATTATAGCGTATATACATCGACCTTTTTAGACGCGGTGTTGCCTTCAGATACCGCTACGACGAACGTACAGACCCTTTTCGAAGCATGCCGAATGAACGTTGAGTGTCACGTTAAATTAAACAACTGTAACGTACCGTACATACACTAAATTACGCCCTACATATCGATAGCCTCGAATGCAAAACTAATACCTCGCATATGATAATTACGCAGCGTTACGTTCTCTCTCTCTCTCTCTCTCTCTCTCTCTCGCTCTCTCTCTCTCTTTTTCTTTCTTTCTCTCTTCCTTCAGAGAGAATCATTGAGAATTTCGTTGTACTTTTCGCCTAAGCGAGAGCGAAAACGAAATCGCCGAACTCCTTGATACAGAAAGGACATTTAGGGTAATTCAGTACCGACATTAAAGTGCTGATTAACAACCGATGATTAAAGAGTTTACCCTGAAAAGAACGCGCGAATAATAGCGATAGATAAAACTTTTGCATTTTTCTTAAGGCAGCGTGGTATACATCTGGATACATAATGTAAAGAAAAAAATATAAAAAAATTTGTAAAGGTAAAAATTGATAAAAAAAGGTGAAAAGGTAAACTAAAGTAAATTAAAGAAAAATATATGAAAATAAATAAAAATAAAACCACATAATTTGTGTGTCGTATTTTCCGTGCGCCTTATTTTTGGGGTGAACTCCTCCATATACGTCGCGATGTAAGATTAATATTAAAGTAGAGCAGAGTTTATACTATTAAAAAAAAAAAATGTTAGACAGATAGCTCGAATAGAAATAGAAACGTGATCTTTGCAAAAAAAAAAAGGTTTTTGCGAAATGGAGAAGACTCCAAAGAGGTATTTTCGAATAAGGTTTCGTTGGAAAAATCACTCTGCTCAGTCGCGCTATATAAATTGTATTATAAATCACATTCCAAACATAAAAAAAGAAAAAAAAATCGATAAAAGTTTGAACTCGAGTGAAATTTGTAATTTCGTAGGAGGCGGATGAAAATGTTAATTTATGTGTGTGTTACGTGTTTTTTCTGTGCTAGTGCTTATGATGTCATTTCGTAATAAATCCGGGGACGTACCCGCCCATCAAGCAGGTGCAACCAGCTAACTAAACGATAAATTAATGGTGATGAATGTGAATTATTACTCGCATAAATACGATCCGTCGACGTTGCGACGGCAGGTGAGCGTTTTATAATATACAGCACAGCATAATATTTTTATATGATAATCTAAATAATTTTTTGATAAACCACGAGGTATATCGTATCGATCTATTATTATTATTATTATTAATATTATTATTGTTTGTTTGTTGCGAGGAAGAAAACGCTAGAATGTCGAGCGCCCGAAGTCGGGAAGATGTATTGAAATGAATAAAGAAGAGATTTTGTATTGCTATTTTTAATAAAAAATATAAACGTACACGCGACATATCGTACGACGTCATACCTTTGCCGACACCTTCGCTTTATACGTCGCGATAAATTGATACAATTGTCGGACAGAAAATCTCTTCTTTCCGAAGATATAGTTTTAATCCTTATATAATAATAATAAATCTTTCACTTATTGCATAGAAACTTTTTGGCCAAATCAGTCTATAAGTTAAGACACCATTCATTCGTAGATCACGTTATACTTTCACCACCAAACGCGCATTCACTTTCGGTATTATTGAAAATAAAAAATGTTACGTACGATTGTCAGTAGAACTGCACTACGTCGGTCCCTTGAGACTTAACACCGTGACGTTGCTCGTATTCGTCGCAACTGTATATCTCTTCATGTTGTCGCTGTAGAGCTTCATGTCGCACTTGGGACAGTGAAACGTATTCATCGCGGAAAAGTGCGCTTTCAAGCAGTAATAGCAAAAGATGTGCTCGCAGTCGGCGTGCGATGGTAGAATCGGATTTTCCTCGCAATAAACGCATTTAGTCGACAAATCCATCACCGGTAACAACTTTACGTCTCGCTGTTGCACCGTTCTACACCACCATAGCTTTCGCAGCATGTGTTTCAGGTAGTGGAAGTTTATCATGGGTATACCGACGGTGAACAGTTCCATCAGGCCGTGCCAGAGCAGCTCCCTCGTCATGTACGAGTAACCGATATTTCGAGGTTTGTTTGTCGTTATCGACTGAGTAGACAGGCCTAAAAAAAGTTCTATCACACGCGGCTGTATGCCTCGATGGAGGAAGAAGAGCAGGTTGATGAGCTGCAGAAGACTAATCACGTTCGAAATTCTATCAATGAATGACTTCAATCTGTAGGCAGTACCACCATAAGCTGAGAGATTCTCATTGGCCAACTTGTCTTTCACATATTGAGGTAAAACAGTCATAAGCAAGTAAAGTATGGCCTTCTTCTGATTGAGATTAGCATAATGCAGATTGAGCAGACGTTGGCCAAATGTGGAGTTACCATGTTGCAGAGAAAACTTCCAGATGAGAATCTTCAGTATTACGTCGATTTCTGTCTGCCATTTGTCGAACTTGCCTGGTGCACTGTATCTGGCAATTTCCTTGGTTTCATCCTTCAGTAATTTGTAAATTTCAACATCCAGTGCAGCAGCATCGATCTGATTTATTCTTGAGACATAAGGTGATGGCGTCATGTCGATTCACTCAAGTAACTCTGAAAGTAACATTTATTTTATAGTAGTCTGTGCATAAAGAAATTAATGTTACACAAAAGTAATAAATTTGCATCGTATATTTCAAGCAAAAAGTAATAATTTTTACATTGTATATTTAAAAAATGAATGACTGTTTCTGTAACGAACAAGTCACGATAATAATCTTCTTTTCTCCAACACGTTCCAGAAACACCTACCCTTCCATTGATGTAGATCAATTTTATTTTGATAGAAATATCTAAGTATTAATAAAGCTTTACAAATAAATCTAATTATTTTATTCTAAAAGAATCTGAATTCAGTATTTTATCAAAATGATGTTTAACACAAAGATTAAAAATTTTCCATGATTTTCTACCATTCGTTAGATAAATGTCAACTACTTGGATACTATTTAGAATAGAACAGCTGAAAGATTACAAAAGATAATCTTGGAACACGTATAGACTTTGCTGCGAACTCAAAGTGCATGGTGACATACTCAGCAACATGCAGTACGTTCGCGTCACGTAACCCCACTTGTTATTCCGCGTACTTAGATATGCAAGTTTCCTTCGACGAAAATACGAGCGATCAATGCGAATCGTGCGGTAACTTGTCAGAGAAATTCACTGTCAATCACAGGTACGCACTCGAGTGAGGTTAGGATTGTGTGGCTTAGCTGATAGAGCAGAAATGTACATAAATGCCACTCACGTTGCCGCCATAACGGTGAATGGCGCGAGTGTTCCATGGAACGTATTAAAGAGATATCATAGACAGGTTCCATTTAACAATGTTAAACAAAGATAGAGTGAACGTTCGCGTCGTTACGAGCGTTAAATTGAATCTGCTCTACAAAAAAACCTATGAGTCTCACAAACTAATTTCGGGTAGATAATCTATAATGCAGTATTACTATTATAATTGATCATCGTCTTCGAAGTATTTGTATCGGATGATCGGAGATCAATAATGTCTGCTCTTCTCGTTAATCAGCAGTCATAAAATATTTTATCTTTGGACAAATTTAGTAGCGAAACACTTACCGAAGCACAAAAACGTAGTATGTGCGCCGAACCTTCGTCTCGTCAAGCAGAGGCGATTGAATCAGCTCCACGTTTTTCTCATTACAATTACATGTTGTCGACAATGCATGTAGACATCGGCTATCAAGGAACATCGTTTAATCGAGCTCGCGCGAACCAAACAATAGGCCAGAACGATCGCCCGTCACTGAATTCGGCACTCCCGATACACACTCGCACACGGAATTCATTCTCGACGCGTAAAATACACGATGAACACCGAGTGATCGCGACCCGCGTTCGAACGACCGTTTCGTTACGAGAAGAACTGTTGTGATTGGCTCGACCGTGTCACGTCATGTTTTATACGAAGATCTTTCGAACGATCATTCAAATAGTCCCAACGCAATGATAAAAATATGCGACAATCAGCGATTGAGATTTTCCAACGACATTGTTTATTGAACATCAAGATTATCGCGAATACTTTGAATAATTCGTACTTGGCAATTTTTATTAAATAAATTATTGCAATATGACGGGGTTCGCGTGCGTACTGCGCACTGCGTTGCGCGTATTAATATCTAACGTATCTCAATCGCGTTACTTTCGTTCAATTGAAACGGATCATGGCGTCGGTAGTTCGTGCTTGAGAAGCTGTTCCATATTTTTCGCGGTTTTGACTCGCTGGAAATAAATCTCGTGTGCGATATTCTTTTAAAGTGAATATCTCGTAGACTAATCGTCGGAATTTCCGGACGAGATTCCGCACATCCGTTGGGTTAGGATTGCGGCTCAGATTCAAATCGGGTTCAAATCGCTGTGCTTCGCCGGGAGAGGATCTTAGTGCAAAACCGGAGGAAGTACCGAAAGGAAGTTTCGTACTTTTATCGCAGCGAAATATCGAAAATAGCCGCCGAAAATGGATATTTCGCGGTTCGTCGAAAGTGTCGTTCGCACATTTGAAACTTTGAGCATCTCAATCGCGCGGAGATGCAGAGGTTAAGATTCGGAAAGTCGTTACGTTACATCTCGCGATTTCGCCTCGCCGAAGGTGAGTCTCACGCGTGAATGATCGTCACCGGGAGTGCCGAAAATAAGTTTCGCGCGTTCGTCGTGACGAAATATCGTCGAATACCGCCGAAAGCGAGTGTCTCGCGAAACGGTCAGTCGCGAATGTCGGGCAAAGTGAGTTTGTGATGTTGCAACCGCACGAAATTCAACTCTGGATCTCCGCTCTCGACCTGCCGAAAGAACCGTTCCTGTGAAGTATCGTCGGAATTGTCGAATCAAGTATTCCCTGTTCATCATGTTAGAGAAATTTGCAGGTAAAATGTCTACATTCTAAACTTTTAACTCTTGCTAAAGGCGAAGTCGTGAGTTCTAAAAAGAAAAAAAATTATAATGGATAGGCATCTGACTTGTGAATTTTTTGCGTGCTTTATTCATGGATTCAAGTCGATTTAATTTTCTCTAAATGACATCAGGTTTCATGCATCGACAAGATATTCTTAAAGACGACCTTACAGGGAAGGGGAGGGGGGGGGGGGGAGAATAGGTAACGCTCTTTGATATCCTCGAAACCCGTTGATAGCGATAAAACTTGAGATTCAGAGTCAATAGTTTTCAATAGCATATCCCGAGCATGTTTTCTCATATGCATTCTCTTGCACTTTCTTTACTCAGAGCGAAATATTTGATATTCGATACTAGAGACTAGGATGGTGGGGAAAATTGTGAGGAAGTGCAAAAAGTGCAGCCCCGAAAGAACAGGTCACTTATAGAGCTACAAGCCGTTGGTAACTGAGCGAAGCCAATAGAGACGCGCGACGAGCGCGCGGCCAATAGGGACGCGTGATGAGAAAGGCGCGTTCGGACTGCTCGGCTCGAGTCGGCCGGGACGTCGTGTCAGTTCGGTTTCGTATGTTAGCGCGTTGCCGCCGCTGCGCTCGGGGCGCGTTCGCCGCGGCTCGCTCTACTCTTGGTTCCGGATTATCGTTGTTTTGAGGTTAGGCGGCACGGGCTGGTGGAGCAGTTGGAGCGTGGCGGAGCCGTCATACGTCGTGTCCGTGTCGTGCCCCGTCGATGTCGTATCGGATGGGTTCCATGTTGCCGCCGGTGGTATGACGTCATCGTCGAGTGTCGTCGGTGGTGCCGCGCGAGTGTATCCGTTTGTCTCTCCCGTCGTATGTAACCCGCAGCCCCGTGCATCATGCACTCGTGATAAAGTTTGACGTTTTTCTCCTTCTCTCTCTTTCTCTCTTTCTCTTTCTTCCTCACTCTCTTACACCTCGGTACACCGGCCGAAACGAAGTGGTGCAGCCGTCGGGCCGCATCGGCTGCCACGGTGTGTGACCTCCGCGCCGCTTCTCCGCACGTCTGCCTCGTTCCTCTCTCTTTCTCTCAGTCCCACTTGCTGTATAATCACTGTCTCTCCTTTGCGCTATCTCTTCACCGGAGACGAGACACCCGTTGCAGCAGTTACGCGCACGACCACAAGCTTCAAGAGGTGAGTGGCAGAAATTATGTAATATCGTTTCTGCGGCGTCGATCGCGTACGGTCTGACCGTGCCGTAACATCGATCTGCCGTCGAGTGACAGGTTAACCTCCAATTCGGCGAGAGAGTTCTCTTCGTTGCACCTGCTTGCCTGCGTGATTATAAATGACCTTCCGATTACGCGATATCGCGCATCTTGTTGTGTACACGCGAATATTCTCTCTGTCTCGCAGCCGTTTCTCTTTCTCTGTCTCTCTTAACGGGGATAAGCTCCTTGGAAACAGCCTACTCCGAAAAAGCCGAATAGAACAAGTGGTTCGAGCAGCTTTCGGGGCAGCGTCTTATTCGGCCATTTACTGAAGGAAATACGGAAAGGAGGTGATCCTGATACCGGGATCGTACAGGTTAAATCGGGAAGCCTGATAACCTGCACCGCCCGAAGGTTAATGCGAGCATATCGCCTTGAAACGTATGCCGCAGTGTATCGCGCACGTTACCCTCCGGCTTCGTAGCCACTTGTTCGCTGACGGCTTTTCGAATATTTCTTCGGTCGTGATTACTACGTCCAAGTACGGAATAAGCTGGGAAAACGTTTGAGTGATTTGACCTTGTTGTTGCGTGTTCCGTGAACGGTGTTTTACGCTTGTTATGGAATGATGTTTTTTTTTCTGTTATTCTGCCTTCTACATGTACAGACACGATAATCTTTAGTTTGTCACGATGTTATCGTCGGCATTGTTATCAGTGGTCGCGTTAATTTTATTGTTGCCATTATATGATTATTTTTGGTCCGTTGACATTATTAGTATTATTTCATTTCCGCGAGTTGAGAATCTTCATTGTTCGTTTTACCATTGTGTTTAAGCGGTAGCAACTGGCATAATCTCGGTAAATAGTTTTTTTTTAATCGTGCAGCACACGGATTAAATGGTCAGACACGGATTGAAGTTTCTCATGTAAGCCAGATTCGAGGTATTAAAGAGAAACTGTGTTGCAATCGTATTTAAAGTGCGAGCACGTTGCTTTAGAACGTATGATGGAGCACGTATTATTCTGTGATTTTTATGAATTTATCGCGTTATATAAAACTGGTGATGTACTTTAATTAAATGGATAATGAATTACATTTTTTTGCCGGTATATCATGCTTGATGAAATATATTCTTGAAAATCCGAATAACTTAGTTGCATGTTATGTAATCAGTAAAATCATCATTGGACTGATATAATAATAATATAATAATAAGGCTTCTTTCAATTTCTTCTCGCGTCTCGTTTTGTTAACTTTTAAACAACATAGATGCGAGATATACTTTTTGCCGAATTCTCTTCTTTAAAAAAAAAAAGGAAACGTGTTATCAATATATTTTAAAGCCTCTTTCCCGTGATGCTGATTGGCTGTCTCGAATTTCTCGATCAAGAATATTTACTGTATATTCAAATGTTATTTTTGGTACAACCAACACAGATGCGTGCTGGGCGTGCGCTATTCAGTTGATTCTTATTATATGATGAAAAAATCCCAATTCATGTAATCAAATAAATATAAAACTAAAATTCGTTGAAAAAAAAATGATATCTCTCTTATTGTCAAAACACCTACGCGATGATAGCGCGAACCGAATCAAGCAACTATTTGCATCCAGATCGTGATTTCGAGACAGGGAATCAGCATCGCGGAAAAGAAGCTTTAACGATTCGATATTTCGAGATATTTAATAACACATTTTTTTTTTTTTTCAAAGAAAGGAATTCGACACGCATATTTCGTTCGATGGTTTAAAATAAAAATTCCAATTTATAATGAAGTCCGCACACTCGACAACGGGGCCTGTTCTCTTTCTGAGCGCGACGCTCACGCGAAGCATTCGCGCTGCTCGACAGCACTCTCGTTATTTCGTCGGCGGGCTGTTTTGACAGCGACGCGGCGCGTCGTGGCGAACAGATCGACAGACGTAAACAGCCGAGCGTGTACGTGATTTGCATATCCATTCGCATCTATCTCTCTCTTCCTCCTCGCTCTGTCTCTCTCTCGACTTGTCGCTTACATCGCTCTTGGCTCTGACCTTAATTTACGGCCCGTACCGCCGACGTGGAAGACTCGTTCGCACGAGCGAGCGAACATTTCGGCGTCCTCGCTCCTCGCACCTGGCGTTATTTATCGACGCGCCTAAATCCGTCGCGCCGCCGAAG